CGACCCATCCATTATCCTCTGTGGCATCTTTCAGAGTCATCCCTTTCCTTCTGTCCCAAAACAGAGCACCTGGACTTGGTCCTGCAGGGGCAGACCTGGTCTCCACTCTGCCAGGAGCCAGCATGACTCCTGGGGACTTTGATCTCATTTAGTGTCCTCTTCTGGCAAAACAGGAAGTGAACTAGATTACTCCAGAGACCCATCCGGCATCCACACTCTGCCGACCTGTGCCTGGACGTTATCAACAAGCCTGTGATGCTAGACACGGTTGAGAATGAATCAGCCTGGTCCTCTGCTGCCTGCCTCTCTCCTTCGGGCTGAGCCAAGTGAACCTTCTCGGAGCCCCATATCCTGTGTGTCCCTCTCTGGGTTAGTTTCCAGCCATAATTCTCTGTCCTTTGGAATAGAGAGATCACAGCAAACCTGGAGTTTTTCTGAGAGTGAAGGGAGGCACCATTCAAAAGTCAGCTTGGGTGACAGGCGTAAGCCATGACTGATCCAGGCAAACCCAGGCATCTGGTTAGCCTCTTTTTGAATCAAAAACTCCAAAACCCTTTCCTCACTCAAATGGCCGTGCCTTGCCGATCAAGCTTTGCTCTCAGTGTTTGGTCCAGATGTTCCCTGCCCCCCCCACCCCCCATCCCGGGATTGTCTCCTCTTAAAACTTGTGCCCTCTTGTCAGTGATGGAAATTGGCAATGAGACAGGCCCTTTGTTGCCAATCTGCATGCCGACCATCATTTTCTAAATCAGATACAAATGATCATCGCCCCTCATTCTGTTCCCCGGGGAGTTGCTTTCACACCTGGCAGCAGGTTGCGGGTGAGACAGCAGCCCAGCGAAGATCCTCACTGGGACAAAAACATCCTGAGGCCGTCACCTACTGGGTCGCCCTGCCTCCCTTGGAAAAGCAAGTAGGATGTTCTGGGGAAAGTGGCCCTTCCTGGTCAGTACTGGTCCCCCCTTGCCCCCAGCCCCAGCCAGGGCACCAAGTCTAGCTGAATGAGCTCTGGCTGAACTGCTGTAACTGGAGGGTTGGCTCAGAGCAAGGCTTCCCCACATCCAGGGATGCTGAGCGAGTGCCTGGAATGTTCCCCACACTGCAGCCCCCAGTGCAGGCCTGGCTCAGCCACTCTGCCTCAGGGCTCTGGCTGGAGGCACCATGTGAAGTTCAAGGTCGGCCTTTCTGTAGGTGAGATCCTCTATCAAACCACGGTGACTGTAGGAAACGGTGTCAAAAGCCAAGCTGCCTGCACGAAAATGAATAGACCCGTCTTGAATCTCTGCTCTCCAGATGGCAGACTTTTGGCCGGGGTGTCACACCAGCAGCCGCAATGATGCTACAGCCGTTCTCCGGCTGATCGGCCGAGGGGCTGACTCTCTGTGGCGAGGCGGATGATGCTTTGGTCTGAGGACACGAGCAGTGGAGTTTGAGGATCTGCTTCTGCCCAGTGGGCGGGTGCAGGGGCCCAGCAGAGTGGACGGCACTGGACCAGAAATCCTGCAGAGACCGACTGGGGCTGGAGTGCTGCTCGAAGCTTCCTTTGCACCTCCTACGAGCTGCCAAGTATTCACGCTGCCCTCAAATGCACAGGGGAGACCGAGCAGATACGGACGGACGGATGCCAAGCCTCCCTCACCACTGTGGTCTGGCCAGATCGGGCTTTTTCTCTGTCTGATGA